ATTTAATCTTATATAAGTTGCGTAAAAATGTTATTAAATTTTATGTTTATATTTGTTTTTGTCATTTTTCCATTTTGTTTTAAATTATGCTTTTAAAAAACATTTTTTAGTTTTTGTTTGAGATCAGTGTTGACAAAGAATTGGTAAGGTTTTGTTTGTTTAGAAAAGAGAAAAGAGTTATAATTTCAGTGAAGTTTTATTTCCTGCAGCCTTTTTCTGCTGCTGAACAAATGAAGCAAAATTACATTTCAGATCAATTTTGAAACAGAAGTCAGAGGAGGGAGAGCGGTGGAGCCGAACAAACGAGATGAGCGGAGATAAGAGGGAAAAGGCAGGTGTGTGCGTGACGGATAATCTTGTTACTGAAGCAGGAAAAAACTGCTAAAATAATCAGAAAACAGCCGAGGAAAATAAACCCGACGACTTGATGAAAAAAACATCTTTTACTTTTAATGAACCAGTTACAGATGATAATTGAAACTGTGTGTCACTACAGCCACATTGAGTTCCTCAGTGATGCTGCAGAGTTTGATTAGTGTTGAACTCTTCAGGCAGAAGAGAGGACAGAAATAAGCAGAAATGTTCTGATGTAATAAACTGTATTCAGAGAAAAGCTGCAGGCTGCGGGACCCGTCTAATATCTGGAGTGTCTGATGATAACAGGCTGTTGTGTTTTTATTAAAGATCAGAACGATACAGAGTTCAGAGCTGATCGTCTGTCCGTCCGTCCGTCCATCCATTCCTGATGCCTCTCACTTTTAAGTAAACAGAAATAGTATAAAAAATACAAAAACAGTTCATGTTTTAGATTTTGGAATAAACAGGAGAACAGGAAGTTTAACCGTTGAGAATCCAGTCAAAACCAAACCTCTGACACTTAAAGCTGATGTATTTTTACAGTAAATATCAGAGAGTGAGGATAACTGTGGTTGTGTTGGTGCAGACATGGCCTGGCTCCATCAGAGCCGAGGTTCTCCCAGACTGGTCCTGGTGGTGGTGTGCGTCGCTCTGCTGCTCGACAACATGCTGCTGACTGTGGTCGGTGAGTAAACTCCCAAACAACATGAAATAATATCACCTGATGAGACGATTCCTGACTTTACCGAAGAATAAAGACAAACAGATGATTTGCTGACATCAGAGGCAGAACATGACAGAACCTCCGTCTGTTCCGGGTCATGTAATGAAGTCATGGATGACCTCAGAGTCGTGACGCAGCTGAAAACCTGCAGGTCCACGTTGTCGTTAGCTGTTAGACTCAGAACCTGCAGGTTCAGCTGTCGTCAACACAGGTTTCACCTTCTGGACCTGATCTTTAAATTACACTCTTCAGTTCAGAAACGGCCTCCTTCTCTCTTTTATTTTCTTATTTCCTAAAATATTGAAGTATTCAAATATTTTAATGTATGCTGATGATACTGTTCTTTTTTTTGTCTGATTTCAATATTGAATCTATTAATAGTCAGTTACAAGCAGATCTTCAGACATTTCATGGTTGGCTTCAAGATAATCTTTTGTCAATTAATGTTAAAAAATGTTTGCATGTATTTTTACTCACCCAGGAGACATTTCAATATAAGAAATCAACTCACTTTTTTAAACAAACCCCTTGATATTGTCACTACCTACAAATATCTTGGAATTACTTTGGATTCTCATTTGACTTATCGTGATCATGTA